TGTATACTTGTCCTTCAGCTTCACGTAATTTTTTTTACGTCTCTTCTCTTGACGAGCACTCTCAATCTCCAGAATAACTGTTGCAAAACTAAGTAAAGGAATTAGATCTTACAAAAGAAATCAAAGCATAAGGGGACGTCCACTGCGACCCTAGAAGATGAGTCCTCCTCTTGCCTCGAAAGTGCGAGGCCGTCATCATGTATCCCACCTTTGACCGCCTCCCCTGCGGGATGTATCAATGTATTCGTGTTCATCTCATCCAAGTGCGAGACCTCGAAGCCCACCTCGATGCTCTCTCCAACATGTACTGTGGCCATCTCTTAGAAAACAAAGTCACCTTCTTCCAAGTCGACGGCTACCGACCTTTCTCCTCCTGCATCCACGGCTCTCATCTTACGAGGCATCAGACTACCATCCTTAGGAGAGACATCATCGTCCTCATTAATCAGTCAAAGGAGTTGAGGAGCAGAAGCAAAAGACAGAACGAGGGCGGGCTCTTGGATTACGGTGGTTGAGGAAGGGGTCTGCACAGAAGCGACAGTAATCACAATAGGGGCAGAAACTGAAGGGGCATCAGCTTTCCTCCGAAAGGATGGTGCCGGTGATCGGCTCCTTCTAGAAGATCCCCTACTTGAGAAAGAAACAAACGTCGACTTTAGCAAATGAGTCGGCATATAAAGAAAAATGGAACAACCACGAGCAATAAGGAAAGTTACCTATCGAAGGAAGAACCGGTCTGAACTTCTTAATAAAGCTCGGCTAGTTGTGGATTCCTATGACGTGGGGGATGATTTGCTCGACCTACTCAGAAATACGCGTGACTAGAAAGGGAGGCTGAGTGTTGGCTACAAAGAAAGAAAAAGTCCTTCAACTAACTTTAGGTAAGTAAAAGAATGCGAACAAGAAAAAGAATTGAGCACTTACGTGTGTAATTCCAAGCCTTTGGAAAGCCATCAGTGTTAGCCACAACTTCCTCGGTCCTAACATAGAAAAAATTGAGCCATAATTGGCGACTAGCCTTATCATCCGGCTTTACTACCAAATACATGCCTTTACGATAGCGAAGATTTAGCATTGTCCCGCTATAGAATCTAGGAGCAAAGAGATGAACCAAATACTGCAACGTCAGCTTAACCCTGGCCAGCTTGGCAAATTTGGTCAGCATCCTAAAGTGACGGTAGAATTCCTCCACGAACGGAAGGAGGGGGAACGGATAACCGATGAGAAAAGGATAAACGTACAAAGAGCAGTATTAGGGGCGATGAACCTGTACCACGTCCCCACCATCCTGGATCAGTTCGACATGGTTTGGAAGACCGAATTTGGCTTTGAGTTCCGCTAATTCCTTAGGCGTCATCGTCGATTTAAAGACTCCAAGCATGGCGTCAGGTAATTGGGTGAGGTCGGGCCTAGAGTCAGGATTACGGGGGATTATTTCCTCCACTGACGGGAACTCATCGTCATCGACAATGGTAGAAGCACCCTCCCCATGAGGGGGAAACACAACTGCTAAAGGAGGAATACGGCTCCCTTCACCAACATTTGATGGTAAGTCAGACATAGTGCAAAGTAGTAAAGAAGAATAATGAGTGGGAAATATTGGAGATGGAGTAAGGCAGAAGAGTGAGGAGTGAAGTTTTGAAAAGAAAATGTCAAGAAGGATAAAGCTCTGGAAAGTCAGGAGAAGCAAACTTCAAACTCAAGTCCAAAAACCTCAATTTATAGAAATCATGGCACTAAACCCAAAAATGGCTCGTCATAATTGGCACCGGAATCAAAACGGCAGATCCAATCAAGGGTCACGCATGAATCGAGGCAACGCATCGGAAATATACGTCATAATGATGCCTGATGCCATGGCGTCATTATGTTCCTTGGACAGGATAACTCCAACAAATTGCCCAGAAAACTAGAGGTATTTGAATTTTGCGGCCCATAGAGGGCCACGTGTCCTGCTCGACACAACGATTACGACTCTTGCAGCTTACTCAATAAGTTCGACCGAAAATGACATTATCCGCTCATTAAGCTCACATGCGAGGCGACCTCAATAAGCAGAGGGACTAACTGTATGGGTCAAAAATTATCGCTAATATGATTAAGTCATGTTAGCATTAAGAAGGCATTCACAGGTTGTCGTGTGTCACTAATACGACTCCAATAAAGGCCTGCCTAAGGTCGAAGTGGTTCTAGAAACAATGATGGTTACGGTCAAAGAGTCAACAAGGGTCAAGGTCGAGGAGTCGTCAAAAGGTCAAGGTCGAGCATCCTTGAGAGAGTTATAACGGCTAGTTCCAAGATGGGACACTAAAGAGAATATTCTAGTAGATATTCTCTGCACCTGTACTATTAAGGTTTCCAGAAACATGTTCCCTATAAATAGAAAAGACACTATGATAGGGGACATGAGATATTCATTTATAAAATAATACATTAACTTTATAGAGAGAATCTGGTCCTGTTACAAGCATATAAAAATAAACTTTTTTACTAAGATTCTTGTCTAGCATTTCCACTGGATCCAAGAACAATCTAAGTATTCAAAAGCTTATTAATCACTCATCATTGTCAGAGAGAATATCCACAGATATCACCCCTTTTCGGGTGCTCACACGTTTTTATTTACTTAAATGCCATTTATTTCTATTTATTACTATTTAATGCCATATTCCATCTTTTTGGATCATTCAACATTGTTATTATTGCTTACATTCATTACCATCCGGGTAAATATATAAGTTATTTATCATAAAACCGATAGCTTTGTCTTTAGGATATTATTATTAGCTAAGATTGACTCCTCTTCATTTAAATCTAATTGGTTGAACCAAGATCTATATTTTTGGTCAAACACTAACTCATCATATTTTATAATTAAGAATTGTTTAAGAAATATTTCAAGAAATGGTGGTGAAAGCTAAAACTATTAGTAACTCCTAAAATAGTAAAATCGCCATTATTATTTTTTTTTTTTCTTGAAACGGGCAAAACATTTATATCTTCGATTATGAAGTTTAGGGTTTAGTTCACTCATATCTGATGGTAGTATTATGTTTTCTGAAATTTTCCTGTGAATTTGGTTTTGATCAACAACGGCTATCAACAACATTCTCAAAAGCAATAATTCCTGGCAATGGTATAGTGGCTATACTATTTGGAAATATATGCTCTTGTTTTTCCTTTTGATGCTGCTATATATTTCCTTGCTATTTGTATGATCATCATACTGTCTATCTTGGACTGAAAATTACGGTGACACCCTTCAGACAGCAAAGACTTACGCAGCAATTACTTCTGGTAATTTTCAAACTTTTAGGTTTGCTCTCTTCTTCTGACCTTATTCATCTCTGCAGAGAAGTATATCATATGGTCATATAATGGCTGCTTAACTCACTGTCTTAGGGGTCGTTTGGTTGGGAAACAAGTTATCCCGAGATTATTATCCCACCCTCCCATAGGGATAAAAATAACACTACAATCCCGGGATAACTAACGGCTTGTTTGGATGATTGTATTGTATTGTATTGTATTGTATTGTATTGTATTGTATTGTATTGTATTGTATTGTATTGTATTGTATTGTATTGTATTGTATTGTATTGTATTGTATTGTATTGTATTGTATTGTTACTTTAAATACAATATTTGTTTTGATTGTTACTTAAATTTTATTGCATCGTATTGTTAAATCCGTCGTTACATAACGACGAAAAGTGTCATTTTATGGGACAACCTATCTGGTGTGGTCGCGTCGTTTTCTTATTTTTTTTCTCTCATTTTGCTCTCTTTTATTATTACAAAAATTCTATTTTATCCTTTATCATACCTTTTTGTATAATAATATTACCTAATACCTTATTTTTTTTTTTATAATATTGGAAACTTATTCTTCGTATTGTTGGTGCATGACTTCATGAAACGGCGGCAAACAATACAATCTATCGAAACATTGTATACATCAAAACGATACAGTATAATACAATACAATGCTATACGATAAATTATGAAACAACACATAACAATCTTGTAATTTTGGGATTAGTTATACCGCGATTATATCTCAACCAAACGTGAGATAAACTCATCTCAAATTTAATCTCAGGATTAATTCTCCCTTATCCCTTGTACCAAACGAGCTCTAAGGAAGTAGCTGAGAACAAAGAACTAAGCGGGGTCCGAGGTCAAGGTTCGTGTCAGGTTCAGGGTCGGGGACCATGGTTGAGTACGGGTTCAGGTTTGGGGTTAAGGTCGAAGTCGAGGTGTGTAGTCAGGGAAAATGGTCAGGTTCGGGTTCGGGGCTCGGTGTCAAAATTCGGGTCATGGTCGGGGTCGAGTGTTGATGCAGCGTCAGGGTCGAGGTTCAGGATCGTGTGTCAAGGTTTAGGGTCTATGTCTAGAATTATAGTGTTTGCTTAAATTATATTAAAATGCTCTTGGGAGTTGGGACAATATTTTTTTCCTTAACGACCAAACATCATAAAATAAGTAAGAAACCACTTGTTTTTCAAGAAAATATTTTCTAGGAAAACAATTTCCATCATCCTAACAAAAGTAGTACAGATGGAAAATCTTTTTTTGCTTTATGTATATTTGGGAAGCTTCTCTAACAGTTCTTCTCATATGTAATCAGCAGAGAATAAGTAGAGGAAGACTAATTACCATTTACTTTGATGCTAGCTTTCCAACTGTTTTTGTCTCATAGAAACATTAAAAGCCTAGATCTTCAAATAAATGCACAATCCATACTATAACAACAAGACTCAGAAAAAGAGAAACAATGGTCAACAAATTTGAGATTGCTTATCAGTTTTACTGTATATAATTGTTCCCTTACTCAAAAAGAAGATAGCCAGCTAAGAAAGTGTAAACACGAGTCACTACAATTTCTTAAATAGGAAACTGCAGTTAATTTCATATTTTTGTACATGCCTCTGCCCATGATGCAGTGATGTTATGTTTCACCTTACATGATTCTACACATTTCTCATACTTAGCAGTAGTACATTATAAATTTTTCCTGTTAGACTATCCACTAGTTATATTAAAAGGACGAAAGGCGAGATTGATTATTAAGTGTTAACAATGGAGATCAATTCTTTCGTCAAAGTGCTATTGTCCCTGATGTTGATATTGTTATTTGGATTGTTTGTTAAGTTATACAACACATTGGTAGCTAAGCGTTTGAAGCTCCGATTAGCTCTGCAAAAGCAGGGTATTCGGGGGCCTCCAGGTACACTCGTATTAGGGAACCTCTTGGAGATCCATAACGCTTTTAGTCATGCATCAGTAGCGAGTGGCACGAGCAATGATTTCCCAGTTTCTCACAATATTCAATCAATTCTTTTTCCATTTGTTGATCGATGGCTTGAAAAATATGGTAACTATATATATGTGTTCAAGAATCATAATTATATCGCCTTCTTTCCTTTCTTTTTTCTTGTCAAAAATTACTGCTAGCAGTTCTGAAACTTTATTGTACCTTGAATTAATAGGTGAAATTTTCATGATATCGATTGGGAGTACGCAAATTTTAGGAGTGACTAAACCTGAGATGGTGAGAGAGATCATGAACACTTCAACAAATTTTGACAAACCCCCTTATCATATGGAATTACTTAAGCCTTTGTTTGGTGATGGTGTGATAACTTCGTCTGGTGCTAAATGGAATTCCCAGAGGAAGATTCTTGCCCCTGAATTCCACTTGGAGAAACTTAAGGTATGAAATAGTAACGAATACTCGAATAGTATAAAGTTATCACCCGTTGTATATATATGACGTGTTGTTTTGAGTTAACCTTCTTCCTAGGGAATGATCAAATTGATTCAAGAAGCTGCAGTTACGGTAGTAGAGCAATGGAAAGCCGAGATAGAGAAGGCCGCTCAAGGTGGAATTGCAGAAATACACATCGACGAATACATGAGAAGGTTTTCGGCCGAGGTGATATCTAGGACTTGCTTTGGAAGCAGCTACATTGAGGGTGAAGAAATCTTCTCTAAGCTTACTACTCTATGGTTGACAGTATCCAAGAATCTTGTGTTTTACGCGATTCCAGGAATGAGGTGCACTTCAACTTTATTCAATTGATAATAATGATTCTTATGCTAAGAATATTTAATTGGTCTTGAATGTAACAGGCATATTCCTACAAAGAGAAACAGGAAGATTAAGGCACTGGAAAAAGAAATTCAAACGTCCATCTTAAAAGTGATCGAGGAACGAAAGCAAGCTGGAATCGAGAAAAATTTGCTACAAACTATTCTTGAAGCTGCCAAGAGTAGTGGGTTGAGAAAAGATTCTGCAAATAAATTTATTGTAGATAACTGTAAAAACATTTATTTAGCTGGATATGAAACTACTGCTGTTTCCGCACAATGGTGTCTCGTATTACTATCTGTCTATCCAGAATGGCAAAATCGCGTTCGTGCTGAGGTAATTGAAGTTTGTAAAGGACAACTTCCTGATCATGATATGATTTCCAGAATGAAGCAGGTATTACCTATTACTAATTTGTTTATATATCCTGCAAAAAATGGTATCAAGTGAAAATATATTTTCAGCTAATTAATACTTCGAATCATATCTTATGACAGTTGACAAAGGTGATTAATGAGACATTGCGACTATATACTCCAGTACCAGTACTTCCAAGAGAAGCATTTGCTGACTTGAAGTTCGGGGACATTTGCATACCAAAGGGCGTAAATATTTGGTTACTGGCAACGACGTTACACACAGATCCAAACGTATGGGGACCCGATGCCAACGAATTCAATCCAGATAGGTTTGAGAATGGAGTGGCCGGGGCATGTACACATCCATACCTGTACATGCCTTTTGGATCTGGAGTAAGAGTATGTGTTGGACAGAACTTTGCCTTACTCGAACTGAAGATGCTTATTTCACTTCTTTTATCTCACTTTTCTTTCTCCCTCTCGCCCAAATACGTTCATTCGCCTACCTATCGTGTGGTTATTGAGCCTCAATATGGAGTTCATCTTCTTGTTAAGAAATTATGATCAGATCATGACTGATAATTTAGTGTTGCAAGCATTTAGTGTTTTGGATATGTAAGTCCTTATTTGTTAGAGTGCTATTATTATTTTTACCTTGTGTAGAAATCAACTCAACTCCTTATATTCACCACAGCTAGAATCTTTTCTAATAGTAATTGTTGTCTATGGATCTGTATTGTACCATTTGTATTAGGATTTAGTGTCTGTTGTAAACGAAAACTATTTTAAAAAAATAAAAGAATAATCAAGCACTGAATTTTCTGAATGCCTGTCTGGTTGGGTTTAAGCTTTGTTTAGCTTTATAATGAAGTGAATGGGAAATGGAGGGAAAAAATGAAATATTTGAATTTTCCTCTCTTTGACAAAGGGACGTTGTCCCATATTGGAGAAGGAAAAGAGTTTTGATGGGTATATATACAATTGCACTTTTTTAGCTTTTAAAGAGTTTAGAAGAAGGCAAGCATCACGTCGTCACTCAGCTTTGGCTTCGAATTTGGTCAAATGATTGATTGATTAATTTTTTGGACCAAATTTATTTGTTAATATTAAGATTAACGCAATATTATTTTATCAAAATTAGCCGTTTCTGTAATGGTAATTTAATTTTTTCTCCGTTTTAATTTTTCCCGTTATAATTTAAATTTGGCGGTTTGCGTAAATGACAGTTCTCCTCTTCCTTTCTGCATTGTTTTCTTACAAAACAAACAACGTCAGTGTGATTGCTGCCGCCGTTTGTGTTCGTTGTAACACTACGGTTTGAAGTACCGCTACACCAGTGTGTAATCCGTTCTATCCTAGGAGGAAATAATCCATAACCTCGGGTGCTAGGATGGGATTAAGTTCCTTAAGGAAACACTGTGAATTCAGTGGACTCGAATTAATTTCTACTTATTCTACAGTTCTGTTTTTACGTTATTTTTCTTCTCCGGAATTATTTTACAAATACAGTATACTACATGTCTTCCTTTATAAAAAGTACTAAAAACAGACTATGTTTGCATAAAGATACCAATAACTGAGAAAGTTAAGACGCCGCTTTTTGGTAATATAGAAATTAATAATAGCGTTTAATTTAGCATATTCAAAATTAAAACAGCTAAATATAGATTAAGAAACTGGTAACTATTGTCTAATAACTTGTCATGCCCCAAAATTGGAGAATTTGTAACGACCTAACCCCGCCAAACAAATCCTCAATTCCCCGGTGGAGTTCTGGGAGATTCATATGCAAATGGATCTCGTATCACCATGCAGCAGGGCTTTATGATCGGAGAGCGAAAAGGAGCATGGTTGGTGTGTTAATGGGTCGGTGGGAGAAATCCTACGAAAGGAGGACAACCCACTAAATTTACATCAGAAATTGCCAACATGAACACAAACGAAATCTTTAGTATAAAAACAAAATGAACCACTATATAATGTATAAACTTATCATACAAGGACACAAAGGCTGCATATAACCATATTATTTAGGCCTAGAATAAAATGAACCCAACGTCATTAACTTTAATTTTAGTAAGAGCAAATTAAGATTTTGAATCAATATCGTTGTACCAATTATTGTTATTCATGACAATTGTTAGACTCCATTATTGGAGTCGGTTGAGAGAAATTAAAATTGAAAAGAGGAAAACCCTAAGTCGAGCAATAGGAGAGAGAAGAGAGTTGTTTTCTTTTATTTCATATAATGTGTCTTTGTTCCAAAAGAATCTATGTATATATCTTACATTTTGGATTTTGTTACAAATGGGGGGCGGGTATTTAACAATAGGCCCAAGTAATGTGTAAGTAAAATAACTACTCTATTGGGCTCTTTCTGAGACTTTAGGCAGCCCAACATCCCTCCTCAAGCTGGAGGGGGAAGCCACTCCAAGCTTGCCTAGCAAATGATGGTGAAGAGCCATCAGATTTCTCAATAGAGCTTTGTACCTCTCAATAGAGCCATCAGATTTCTGTTTAATCTTGTAAACACATTTGCAGGGAATAGGCTTCTTGTGAGGAGAAAGAGGAACAATCTCCTAAGTATGTTTTGCCTCTAGGGCTTGAAATTCCTGTAGCATGGCCTTTTGCCAAGCAGGATGAGAGGCAGCATGCTAGTAAAACTGAGGTTCATGTATTTGTAGCTCAGCAGGAGAAACCTTGGATGTCCCAAGCACAGGAATGGAGAGGAAAAAGGAGCAAACATAGTCTTTAAGATTGGAAGGAGTGTGACAGACCCTGCTAGACTTCCTAAGCAAAGGAGAAGTTGGCAATGAAGTGACAGAAGGAGAATCAGAGGTAGGAAAGACAAATGTAGAAGGAGAAGGAGGAGGAATAGGAGATGTAGGAGAAGGTGTAGGTAAAAAGGAAGAAGGTACAGAGGAAAGTGAAGGAGGAGAAGGAGTGGAGGAACAATCCACAAAAGGAACATGAGGAACAGGATGTACTGGGAAAGAATGTAAAGAATACGGAAAAATATGTTCATGGAATATCACATCTCTGGAGAAAAAAAATAGAATGATTGGTGAGATTAAGAGTTTATAATCCTTTTTATCACAAGGATATCCCAGAAAGATACATTTAATGGCCCTAGATTGGAATTTATCCCCATTAGGTTTGGGTTGGTAGCATAACATAAATAACCAAAAGATTAGAGATGGTCATAGGAATGAGAGACCCCATGTAACCTTTGAAAAGGAGATAGATTCCCCAAGACAGAAGAGGGCATCCTATTTATTAGATAAGTAGCAGTCAATACACATTCACTCCAATACTTGACAGGAAGGTAATATTGAAAAAGTAAGGCTCTATAAGTCTCTAATAGGTGTTTATGTTTCCTTTCAACTACCTTATTTTGTTATGGGGTATGTGGAATAGTGATTTGGTAAAGGATCCCATTTTTAGAGAAAAATGACTGTGCTTCAGAACTACTGCCTAACTCAAAGGCATTATCAGCTCTGAAAGTTTGAACAAAGGAATTAAAATGAATCTAAACCATTTAGTGAAAGCTTTGATAATGAAGAATGCATTACTCTTACAGGACAGAAGATGTGTCCATGTAACTCTAGAAAAATCATCAACAATGGTAAGAAAGTATCTAAATGCATTGTATGTCCTGGTGTGGTAAGGACCCCAGAGATCTAAGTGGACAAGTTGGAAAGGAGAAGTGGACTTGATATGGCCTTCAGGAAAGGAAAGTCTCTGTTGCCTAGCCATAGGGCAAACATGACAGGAAAATGACTGCTTAGCAGAAACTATATTAGATAAAAATAAAATAGACTTCATTTTATGAAAAGGCATGTGACCCTATCTTTGATGCCAAAACAGTTCCAATTTATTAACACTAGTGGAAGAAATACAAAAGGAGCAGGGAGAAAGGGAAACATAATTAGAAGGAAGAACATTACAAGCAGTATCAAAAGAAAGAGTAGAAACAGAAGGTGAATACTCAGGCATATCAGGGAGCAGAAAGTACACACCATGAGAAGCTCTACCAATTTTCAATGGCCTCTTTAGATAAGGGCCCTGTAGAAAATAAGAGTGGTTGTTTAATAATGCTAAGCATTGTCATTGAGAAAGAAGTTGGTATACAGAAATAAGGTTGAATTGAAAAGAAGGAACTAAAAGTACATTGTGTAAAACAATGTCTCTTCTAAGTTGTAAGGAACCAATAGATATTACTTTGACTTTATAACTATTTGGTAAAGTTATTAAGTTAGGTTTTGGTAAATATCGTAAATTGTGTAAGAATTATTTATTGGAGGTCATATGATTGGTGGCACCTGAATCTAGTATCCAAGGTATTTTTCCTAACCGAGCGCACAAAAAATGTACTATAAAATTAACTATAGTGAATTGATCAACAGAAAGATGATACACACCTGCAAAGTTGGCATAACAACCATTTTCATCAAAAGATGAAGAATGGATGCCAAGAGAGATGTGAGCATGCTGAAATAGAGACATGAGATGCTGATACTGTTCTTTGCAGAAATCATAAGTTGTGGAGTCACTGGACTTGATACTAGGACCAACATCAGTAGCAGCTTCTTCTACTTGAACACAAGAGGCAGATCTATTGTTTTTGGTGAATTTAAAATCAGCAGAAAAGCCATGGAGTCTATAATATTTATCTACTGTGTGACCAGGCTTTTTGAAGTACTTGCAAGACACAGAAAATGAGTTCCTTTTTGGATCAAATTAATTTTTTGGTTATAAGATCTGTTATTGTGTTGAGGATTCATTGGATTGGCATGTGCTGAATTAGATGTGCTGGCAGAAAAAGATGTTGAATCGCAAGAAAAACCCAAGGCTGGAGATTGATTCTCCTTTTGACTTTCATCATGTTGGAGTAGAGAATAAGCCTTACTAATGGATGGGAGTGGGGACATGAGCATGATGATACTGTTTACAGTTGAATATGACTCATTCAATCCACTTAAGAATTGAAAAAGGTGTTGGTCTTCTATAATTTGGGTAGGGCCCCACAGGAACAAGTAGGACTAACATTGTGATGACCCAAAAGGTCATCTTTTATTTTAGAATTTGTTTCTGTGTTCTGATGCTTTGAAAACCTCCTTTTATCTCTCCTTGATTAGCATGCATAGTTCGGGCGTGATACCGGAAAGCTTTTGTGTGAAAAATTTGAGAAGTAATGATTTTTGGCTTTAAAAGATGATTTTAGTTGACTTCGGTCAATATTTTGGGTAAACAGACTCGGACCCATATTCCGACGATCCTAGAGGGTTCGTAGTAAAATATGGGACTTGAGCGTATGTCCGGAATCGAATTCCGACGTCCCTATCCCGAGAAATGAATTTTTGAAGAAACTTTTTTAACTGAAAATATAATGGTTTTTGGAAAATTAATAGGATTTAATCTTGTTGGTATCGGGCCCGTATTTTGGTTTCGAAGCTCGGTACAAGTTTAATATGGCATTTAAGCCTTATCTGTGAAATTTGGTGAAAAATAGAGGTGATTTGACGTGATTCGGACCTTTAGTTGAAAAGTTAGAAATATTGAACTATCTTGAAATTTTCATGAGTTTTGGTGTTGAATTCATAGTTCTAGATATTATTTTGGCGATTTGATCATGCGAGCAAGGTTGTAAGATATTTTAAGACTTGTGTGCATGTTTGTTTTGGAGAGTGAGTTTTGGATAGGCTACGGAGTGTTTTGGACTTGAAAAAAGAATGTTGTAGGTGTTCAGTTCTGTTGCAGGCCTCTGATCTCGCAATTGCGAGATCAAGCTTCGCAAATGCGAGCACATCAGGCATG